CCTATTACAAGCCACCATAATGTCGTTGATTGTACCTTTTTGTAATCTGTACAACGAAACATTGTAAACTTTTCATAAACACACCCTGAATAGGTTGTAAGCTCAATAGACAAACAAGAAAACAGATAATTTGACGAAATATTTAAATAAGAGGAATAGGTAGCCCAGATATTCAAACAGGCCGCTACAATAGTGTTACTTTGACTTTAATAAATTGTATTTTCTATGTTCAATGATGAGAAACATCTATTTCTGATTGGTTCATTTTGTTATGATAGTTTTACCCTATTAATCAATTACAAACCAAAATGGTTCTAATCATGAAATCTATTGACATTTATAAACTTTAGTTTTTTTTTTTGGTATTTTATCTATTTCACCATGTGATATCAGTTTAAATGGTAAACAATTACACCGTCAAACATTTGATCATCTTGATGTTTTGGTTGATGACTTAAATTTATGGAATTTTTATAGCCTGATGTGTTCGCTTGTGGTGACGGGATCATCATTTTAGTGGCCCGTGATCTGACTCCAATTTGATCGTAATGATTGGTTGCTATCGTCTATCCTCGTATATAATCCAGTGACTTAAATCACGTTAGTTAATAACGGAATTAAATAAGTCAAATAACGAGAATGGAGTTTTGAATGCATATATTTTGTAGAACGATGCGAAGATGAGAAAGCGAAGCTAAGTTGGCGCGTGGTGGAGATGGCTGGTAAGCCAACTCTCCTTTAACAAAGAGTTAATCAATATTTATAAGCCCACAAAAATAAATTACAGACATGTGATGAGTAGCGGGATAAGAAGTGTGCATAGGCCTACGAGCTCATACAAAGACAGTCAAGACATTGATAAGCGAATAAATAACAAGGTCAGAATGTGACTCAAATAGAATGAATAGAATGGGCTGTCCGAAAGTTAGAATAATGAGGTATTTGGGCTTAACATAATGACAGACACTACAGAATGTTCTTTGATCTATCAGTTGTATAAAGATGATAGTAAAGAAAGTCTATGAACTTAATGTTTATGTAGATTAGAGGATATTTCGTGTTATAAGTTGATTTCATTCATAATTTGATATTTTGTTTACTTTAGTATATGAAAAAGGTTTTGTGAAGATTGTAGTCATTTCAATAGTTGAGATTATTCAACGATGTTAATGTTTAACTTTAACTAATCCACGATATTGAACGATTCATCCATCATTATCATCAGTGAGTTACTAACTCACAATAGACCTGGTTGAACTCTATTGGTCATTGATTCTCAATAGAACTGTAGGAAATACCTGTTGAAGCCAGTCACGATTCAGCATATGTTGATTAGTATGGGAAGGGTTTTTGTGGAAATGTATATCCTGGAGTTCTAGTGAGAAGCAGTGACCAGTAGACTGTTGTGAGCTTGTAACTCAATGATGATAATGGTAGACGTATCAGTCAATTTCGTGGATTAGTTGAAGTTAGACATTAACACTGTTAAATATTGGCCATCTCAGTTGACTAGTGGTTAAGCGCTATCGCGTGAGACTGATAGGTCCTGGGTTCGAGTCGCTCGAGGATTGATTGTGGATGAGGAGTCCCACAATAGTACGAAACGGCGATCCATCGCTTCCAGGTTTCCTATGGTGGTCTAGCTTCAATCGAATCATCATCTCCACTATTGAACTCACTTACTTAGCCTTTTATTCCACGTGAAGGAGCATAGACCACTCAACATCATTCTCCATCCAACTTTGTCTTGGATTATCCTTTCCAGTTCGTTACAGTAGTTATTTATCCTTTTCATATCTGTTTCTATTTCCCAACATAGTGTGTTCTTTGGCCTTTCTTTTTTCCACTTCCCTTCAAGATTCCAAGTTAGGAATTGCCTCATGATGCATTTTGATGAATTTTGAAATGTATGTCCTAACCAATTCCAACCTTATTTCCTAATTTCCTTCTTAGTTCGAACCTGGTTTGTTCTCTTCCATAGTAAGCTGTTGCTCATGCTATCCGCTTAATAGATATTGAGTATCTTCTGTAGACAACTATTTATAAATACTTGTACCGTCTTGATGACGTTTGTGGTAGGTCTCCACATTTCAGCTGCTTACAATCGAACTGTCTTAACATTCATGTAAAACACCATATATGAAACTGATTATATATAAGAAGATTTATAAAAATTCCTATCAAAATAATAAGCAATTACTGTATCTGTAGTTGCTAGGGTATAATTATAAAAATTGATGAAAAAAAAAACTACTAAAACAATCAAAAAAGTATTTGAATCCTGAGAAAAATATGTCAGTTTCCCTAGAATTTGTTCCCTATCCATTGGGTAATCTAATGTGATATGGTACTATGGGAAATTTGTTTTGTATACTCATTAAAGTAAAATATGCATGAGAAATACAATTCAATTTCATTCTGTGTATAGTGGAGATAAACTATGAGAAAAAAAAGAGCGCTTCACTATTCATTGTTGTATTCAGAATGTATCTTTATTTATGAGATAGTGAAAGTAATAGTAACCAAAATCAATTGAATGGTCATGTGGTGTATACTACTAATGTCAATTGATATAAGTAGTTATCAATTTAGATGTTGTGGAGATTGTTAAGTTTTTGATTGAGATCATGAACCGTTTGATGTTAGACCACTATTAAAAACCTGAAAGCACTGGATGGCCGTTTTGTCCTATTGTGGGACTTCATAGCAGTGCGCATCCACGATCGCGCTCGCGGGATTCCAACCCATGGCCTTCAGTCTCGAGCGCGAAGTAGTATGTACCATCAATCAAAAGGGAATTGCCTGGAGGTAGAAGATTAAGAAGATGAAAGAAACTAGAACGAGAACAGTGATTCATTAGTATGGAAACTAAAGAACAAGGAAGTCTGAGATCATCAATTGACCTTTTGCAAATGGACTATTTACTGTACAGATCTCAGATATTACTAAGATTGTATTCAAATAAATTCGATTGTTCCCACTTCTGTCCTCGTTCACTCGAGATGTAACCATAGAAACACGATTTATTAAATTACTTTTCGTCTCATAATCTTGGTTTTATAGATTGTATAACTGTTATTGTAATCCAGAATACAAATAAATTGGAAAATACTAGATTATTACTGAGCAATCATGAAATGATATTCAAGTAGGCTTATATCTACTTTTACAGTCACCACTTGCCCCCAAATGCCCTGGTACGGCCGAGAGTGAGGAGAGTTCACTCTCCCTCTCCAAATGCTCTCATATGATCACGCGTATATAACCTCTGTCAGGAAAATCCTATTCACTGCTTTCTCACACCAGGCGTGTCGTTTATGAAAATGAGAGGATGAAAAGCGAATGTCCGGCGCTTTAACCAGATCCAAAAACCTATGATGCACATGGGCTTCAGTATCCTGCGGGAACAAATGGCGTATGAATCAATCGTTGGTCACCGGCTACCATGGGACTGCATCTCCTTAAGATGCTCCACTGTCTTGTGGATCAGACGTTCAGGTCGAAGGCTCGGGGTGTGGCCTTCTAAGGAAACCTCCTGCTTCGGTTTGGGTATCGGGGCAGTATCACAGCCCTCATACATATCAATTGAGATTTGTGTGGCGCATATGTATTTGGTGCCTTCTTGTACCAATATCTATGTGTTAAAATAAATAAATAATTACAGTCACATTAGTCGTCACTCTTATGAATTGCATGATTATGAGTTGAGTTTAAAATATGAATGAATGGAAGACTTCGTAAATACGAAGATGAGATCTAACATGACTAGATCTATGAGATGACTAGTACCCGAAGACAAACCAAGCCTGATTGATAAAGCAAAGATTTCAATTATTAATTATGCTCGTATCTTGATGACAATCAATAATTGTAAACAGTATCTTGATGTGTACTATTATTATTTAAATAAATAATCTCTAAATAAAGTCGAATCTTTTCAAGATTATACATTTCATCACTGGAAGCATCATTGATGAACAAGGAGGTTCAGATGCAGACGTCAAGGTGAGGATTGGCAAATCAAGGACAGCATTTCTACAATTGAAGAACATGTGGAACTCAAAACAACTGTCCAACAATATGAATGTCAGAATCTTCAATACGAACGTCAACACTGTCAGTTCTACTGTACGGAGCTGAAACTTGGAGAACTATTGCAACCATCATCAAGAAGGTATAACTATTTATCAATAACTGTCTACGCAAGATACTTAACATCCATTGGCTGGATACCATCAGCAAAAATTTACTGTGGAAGAGAACAAACGAGCTTCCAGATGAAGTGGAAATTAGGAAAAGACGATGGAAATGGATAGGACATACATTGAGGAAATCATCAACATGCATTACGAGGCAAGCCATAACTTAGAATTCTGAAGAGAAACGAAAAAAGGGAAGGCCAAATAACACATTACATCGGGAAATAGAATCAGATATGTAAAGGATGAATATGAACTGGGAAGAGCTTGAAAGGATTGCTCAGGACAGGGTCGGATAGGGAATACTGTTGATCGGCCTATGCTCCTTTGCGTAGAGTAACAGGCGTCAGTAAGTAAGTAAGTACATTTCATCACTAAAATAACAAATTCATGACATTCTAATCAAACAAATGCCCTTTGGTTAGGTATCATCAATGGCATCAGATGATGGATTGAATAGACTTACGGGAAAACTGTAAAACACTGTGTATTAACTTAGTTATCCAATTCCTCAGATTCTTGATGATCCTGAATTTGATTTCTTATGGAATCGTATCTTGTCTTTTAAATCAATATTATTATGTTATGCTGAAGCTATACTATTGAAAGGTTCTTTTTCTATCAAAAATTGATTGAGCTTTATTTAACTAATCTATATTACGTAATCTATTCTGTTTCCATGTCATTCTGTAATAATAAATCGATATATAAACGAATGTTTAAACAAAATTAGAAATAAGTATCCTTTTTTTTGTTTTTTTTGTTTTGATGAAGTGTTCATTATTTTTTTTTTATTTACAGTCATATATGCAGTCAATACAATGGACAACCGATATGTTGTCCAGGTTGGAGAAATGGTATTGGTGCACCATGTATAATACGTGAGTTTATTTACTTTATTGTTTTCGTTTTTTTAAAATAAAAAAAAATGCTTGATCAGAATGAAGATTTGTGATCTAAGGTAGATCATCATTAAACACATGGAAACGCTGGATCATTGTTTCGTCTTAGTTCCATATATGAATGCAACTATTAAAATTATGACAATCTCCAGAAATCTCCATTCTGATCATGATCATCATGTGCTTAATAGTGAATAGTTTTATGATAGATTTCATGAAGTTTTAGAAGAGAAGCCTTAACTAATGGAGTTTAATCCGTGTCGGTTATAGACAGTTATTCACTTCAAACGGTGGATGAAGGATTGTGTAAGATCATGAATTGATTGAAGTTAAACATTAACACCGTTCGATGCTGGCTCAGTGGTCTAGAAGTTGAGTGTTTGCCCGTGAAACCTAAGATCCTAGGTTTGAGTCACGCTTGCGGTACTGTAAATGCGCAATGATGAGGCGTCCGATAAAAGAACGAAACGAACGTCCAGTACTTTCAGATTTTCAATCGTAGTCTAACTTTTTTAGATTTATTAATTTAACTATTAAAAATAATTCAAAGTTATCATATTTGTCTGATTGCCTTGATATAGACTTAATTCATAAGCTTTTTAAGCAAAGATGGATAGGGGTTAGCAAGTGGAATCCAGTTTGATGTGCATTTCGTACTAACATCTCAGAGATGATGTTCACTTCAGGACTCGAGCCCAATACAGTTCACTTCAAAGATCATCGGCGTTATCCACTTAGCTACTGAACCGTGATATCCACCTGTTTGTGCAATGAGGTGAAGTTTAAATTCATTTGCTCTTGTTTTATTTCTATCTTTCCATTGTTATTTGAAGCGAACGGTATTGGATTTGTGTCCCGGAGTGAACATCAACAAGTCTAGTATGCAGGTATATTCAGCTGACGAGTCTGAACTAGGACGAAACCCGCTTTAAACTAGATTCCACCGCTAGCTTACTATCCATCTTTACTAATCTTATTTCATTTTTTTGTTGTTGAATGTATTAAAATGAAATAAAACTATAAGAATCATGTTGTCTGATTGAACTATTCATTTTTGTGCTGTTTTATTGCTGAAAAACTAAATTGACCATTTTTTCTTCTTCTTCTTCTTCTTCTTCTTCTGCTTATGGAACTGATATTAACAAGTAGATTTACATCATTGTCTAATATGTTAATCATAAAGTGGAAAAACATGAATACTATAAATGAAATATGTTTTCCAAAACATGATACCCTTCTATTCTACTGATAAACAGTATGATAGAAACATGTTGGTTAAAGCTTTAGAAAAAAAAATCTGTTTTAATATATTTAGATTGTGATGAGAGAAGGATCAATGTAAGATTTATAGTTCATCATAGTTTGAGACCCTAAATACCCTGGTATGATTGAGAGTGGGGAGAGTTAGCTCTCCCACGCCCTTGAAATGATCTCACATGGTCACGTATATACAGCAATAAACAGGGAAGTCGTAATCATTAAATTATCATGACATTACTGTTATTTACAAAATGGAGAGGATGAAAAGCGAATGTCTATTGTTTTAACCGGGTTGGCGGATATGGAGAATCCACCTAGGGGAGTTGGATAAAATTGATTTTAAATCAATGGTGCACATTGGCTTCAAGATTCTAAGGAAACAAATTTCGTATGAAATTATTGTTGGTCACCAACTACCATGGATGACGTTGCTCCACTGCCTTGTGGGTCAGACCTTTAGGTTAAAGGTTCTAGGTGTGGCTCTCTTAAAAAACCACGTGGTTCCATCTGGGCACCCGAGTAGTATCACAGCCTACACACAAATCAATTGACTTGTGTGGTCCATATGCATTTGGCGCCTCTTTGTACCAATATTTATGTGTTCAAATAAATAAATCAATAAGTCATTGAAATCACAATTTTGTTGTTCGCACTGAGACTCTGTCCTGATTATTTTATGTTTACAAGACAAGAAACGCTTAGTTGACCTAAAGCTTAGAATTTTTACTCTGAAATCCTTGACTATCATTGGTTGACGAATTTTTTTTGGTACGCTAATTTGTGGCTCTCCCAAGGGCGTTAATATCATTGTATAAATAAGCTTAATTTGTGTGCTTAGTGACTACATATTTTCTGGGTGCTTGTAGAATACAAATTCTCTACACCTCATCAAAACTTCTTGATCTAGTTAACAAGGCCAGAGAAAACGGATTAGAATAGCTTATCGTGTCAATGTATTATTGACATTCGTTCCGTTTACCGAGTAGTTGGTCATAAAACTTATGATCAGAATGAAAGAACTTCATCAACCATCTTTTTCAATAAATAACATTTCTTAAAATCAGAATATTGAATATAAGTCATTCACCATTCATTTGTATCGATAGCTTATAATGATGACTTTTCCGTATGAAGTAGGATAACAAGTAATTACTACTCATTGATAGATAAAAGTTTTATGGTTAATGTGTGATTCAATTGTCAATTGTGTAGTTTACGCAAAATTACGCTACCATACACCATTGTCTTCAGTGAGCTGATATGTCACAACAGATCAGATTGAACTCCACTGGTTACGGCTTCTCAATAGAACTCCAGGAAATGCCTTTTGATGTCAGTTACTAATGAGCAAATGATTATTAACAGAAGGGACTTTTTTGGAGATTTTAGTAATTTCAATAGTTGAAATCACGAGTCAATTACAGCTAGACCACGATGGAAGAACTGGAAGCACTGGATGGCAGTTTTGTCCTAGTATGGGACTCCTGGGTTCGAATCTCGCGGATGACTGCATCGTAGATGCTCACCGCTGAGGAGTCTCACAATAGGACAAAATAACCATCCAGTGCTTCTAAGTTTTCCATGATGATCTAGCTTCAATTAACTCATGATTTAAACTATTGAAATTACTAAAATCTCCTGACTAACGTCATATACTACTTATGTAGATTTAAGTAGCACACACACCACAATACCACTATATTGCAAATATGCTTTGATCAAAACAGAACTAATTACTGATTCTTAAATGTAATGAATCAATGTGACTAGATGAATAATAGATTTGGATCAGTTTGATTTCGGATATTTCAACTATAGTGAACGTGAACATAAATGGGGACAATCAGAATGTCTTATTAACATCTAAAATCTATACAGTAACTACTATATTTACAAAATGTCAATCAATCATTTTAGATTTCATGGTTCTTTCATTTCCATAATAATCATTCACCATTCTCTTTTTCTTTTCTTTGATCTTCTTAACCTTCTGTTGCCAGGTATTTCACTTTCGATGAATGATATATACTACTTATATCTGTCAATATCAGTAGTACGCATTATACTACTAATGACAAAAAATAAATTTTACAAAATAAATAACTGTTTTTCACTAGTTGAAATCATTAGTCAATGAAAGCTAGACTATCATGGAAAATCTGGAAGTACTAGATGACCATTTCGTCGTAGTATGGAACTCCTCAATAGTGCGCATCGACAATCCCGCAACCCCCCGCGAGATTCAACCCTAGGACCTATCAGTCTCGCGTGTGTGTTGTCCAGTGCTTCCAGGTTTTCCATGGTAGTGGTCTAGCTTCAACTGACTCATGAATTCAACTAGTGAAATTTCTAAAATCTCCACAAAACCCCTTCGGATACATTTTTTTTTATCCCCAAGGAAAAAAATACATGTAAATTTGTCCAATCAGCTTAAGGGGTAAAACACACCTGTTTTTTTTCTTTAAAATATCCATTGACATTTCAAGGAATTTCCTGACAGATGAAATCGACTACAAGCATGTAGTAACGTATTGTAATTTAGAAAAAAAAGTTTTTTTTTAAAAAAATTGACTAAGCAATTCGAAGGAAAAAGAGAATTTCTATATTTGGATTTACATTTTACTTATGATAAACAAAATTGAAAATCGTCATAGCAACCAAGACGTATAAAACTCAACGTGATATGATTATTACTCAATGTTATTTATGATTATTTGGATCATTGTAAACATAGGTAACATCTTTTACTTACTTACTTATTCCTAATGGAACATAGACCGCCGACAAGCATTCTCAAACCTACTACTTACTCGGCCTTCCTTTATGTTGGGGAGGTTAGATTCCCAGAAATCACTTGGAAAAGGATCTGGTTTTGTAATTTGATTTAGAAAATTTGAATTTCTTTGTTTTTTGCGTCAAAACCGCTCTTGTTACCTTCATGTCGTATTTCCCACTTGAGAAATGTCTTAAATGCTATTGGTCCGTTGTGTCTTTTAGTATGCTATTTGGTAACTTTTCCCAAGGATGGTTTTGTGCTGTATATATACGTTTTGATTTGTGTTTGTTGTTATTACTCGTTTCTGGCTGTTTTCAGAATATCCTTTTGCATTCCAAGCTTAGACATTTTGCTCTAGTAAGCGGGACTTGGACGCATTAAATAGCTAGCTTATTGGTCTTTGGTCACCGAGTCTTTGTTCCAGTTCGCAGATTAAGTGAACTCATGATAGCTTCAAACCTAGCACTTCACAGTTCTATCCAATTCTTTTTTAATTCTTCTCATGTCTGTTTGCATTTCTCGTCGTAATGTGTTCTTTGGTCTTCCTCTTCACTCCTATTGGCCTTGAGGATTCCATGTGAAAGATTGCCTTGTTATAAAGTTAGCTGCTTTCCTCAATGTGTGTCTTATCCACTTACAGCACTTCTTTCTGATTTCTTCCTCTACTGGAATTCGGTTTGTTCTCCTCCATAGTAGTTTGTTGCTAATAGTATCTGGCCAATGAATCCTAAGTATTTTGTGTAGACAACTGTTAATAAACACTTGTATCTTTGGGATGATGGTTTTCATACTTCTTCAAGTTTCCACCTCGTACAATCGAACTATCTTGACATTTATATTGAAAATTCTGACTTTGATGTTGGTTGATAGTGATAAATCAAATTTGATTATATAGCTTAAAAGGTAACATCACTAGAGGTATTCATTAGAGCTAAAGATCTCT